CCCCAAAACCCCAAAACCCCTTCAAACAAATTTGTCATAAGTTAGTTGATTAATTATTCCTTATAAATTGTTGAAGTACTTATTTGCTATTTATAGATTTTCAAACTATAAAATATTAACTCCTTAATCAATTCTCAATTTTCATTTAAGATTTAAGATACTAATATTCATATACTGATAATAATCTCACATACTGGATGGATTATTTTGATGCCAGACTTTATATTCTAAAAGGGATTGCTAACTTACTGAAGGCTAAATCAACCTGAAAGCCTTCTCAAAATCTCTCTTATTAACTTTTCTTATTTAACTAGCATTTTTAATCTTCATAAGCTATCCAGCTGGTAACTCTCTTATTGGCTCCATAGCCGCTTCTTTAACAAATGCAGTAAGATCAGCTGATGAGTATCCTTTAGAAGCTGTTGCTATTTAATCAAGATCCTTGACAGAGAGATCTGTGTCAACTTACTTTATTAACTTATTTATCAAGCCAAGTCTTGCATCTTTATCAGGAAGGCCAATGTATATTCTTTTGGTTAATCTTCTCAATGCAGCTTCATCCAGATCAAATGGCCTATTAGTAGCAGCTATTACCAGAATACCACTGGATGAAGATCCTACACCATCCAATTATATCAAGAATTCAGTTTTTAATCTTCTTGAAGCCTCTTATTCATCGCTTGATCTTTTTGTTAGCATTGAATCCACCTCATCAATAAATATTATGCTTGGCTATTGTATAGCTGCAAGACTAAATAATGTTCTCATTAGCTTTTCACTCTCTCCCATCCACTTTGAGACTAAAGAACTCGCGCTAATACTAAAAAATGTACTTCTACATTCTGTTGCTACAGCTTTAGCTATCATTGTTTTACCGTTTCCAGGTGGCCCGTAAAGCAAAATACCTTTTGTAGGAGCTCTTAATCCGGTGAAAACATCTGGCCTCATTTATGGATAAATAATATTTTCGACCATAGCTTTTTTTATATCTCTTAAGCCCTCAATATCTTCCCATTTAATTCCGGGACCATGGTCAATAATTGTCTCCATTATTACTTTGACCATATTCTGATCTAATTTCGAAAGAATTTCTCTTCTCTAAGCATCTGGCATACCAATTTACTTTTATACTATTTCAGCTACACTCACAGGCTTTCTTTGATTATCATTGGAAATTTAAGGATTATATTGCTATTGCATCTATGGTTGAAGCTAGGGTTGATATTAAATCTGCTAATTTGGCTGACTTTTCACTGTAACCTTTTTTTATTGCATTCCTTCTATCTCATTTTTTATTTACTCAGCTTTTGTTATTGTTGTTTTTAATTATTATTTCATTGCATTGCTAAATTCAACAGCATCAGAAGTTTCTTTAATCACTTCCATCATTCTTTCCGCTTAACTAACATATATTTCTTTTGCTTCTCCCAAATATCCATCTCTATGCAATTATGCTGCTTTTCTGAGTTATTAATCAATGTCTTAAGTAGTTTATTGCACTCTTTTTTATTTCTAATCTAGATTTTCATAATTTGAAGAAGGTGGAAATATTTCACCACTTTAAAAGTCTATATTCTTCTTGGCTTTATCTACTAAGTTGTTGACCATTTTTTTTCCTTAAGTTTACAACTTCTTGGATTAATCGTTTCCCATTACTCTTTAGAATATTTATTGAATTAGATTCTATAAAATCTGACTGCAATAATTGAATGGGGGGTTTTGGGGTTTTGGGGTTTTGGGG